TGTCAGTGAGAATCTCCACTGATATAAAACCAGGCTTTGGTGATTCGACTGTGAACATACTGAAGTTAGCTAACAAAACTCTTGCAGCTCCATGAAAGAAAATAAGCAAAACAGAAATGTATACCTGTTCCTCCCTGCAGTTTACCGAAGGCACCGATATCGAAACCACCAGAGAACCTGCCATTTGCGCCTGTAAATGTTTACACATTCAAGGTTAATATTTCACCAAATTGGATATATGAAGAGACTGTGATCTCTTGGCATTTACCTGTCACAACAATCGCTTTCACATCATCCCTTCTTAAGGCCTGATCGTAGTTCTCTTTCAAGCTATACAGCACTGAAAAGAAATTGCAATAGTATCAAAATGAATTATTGATCAAAGTATTGCGCACCAAATTTGGAAAATCACGAAACTACATTTTAAGGAAAAGAAAAGCTTTTCTTATACAGTTATTCTGACCTCTTTGCCAAAATTAAACACAAGAAGTAGCAACTTTCTCATAGTTACATTTACCAATATCAACAATTTATAATATGGTGTATAACACAAATGTCAATCAACTCCCCTCAATCCAAAATTAGTTGGATCAACTAAAAATCATATATAGTCATTCCATTCTAAAACACATATCTTATAACACAAGCGTAAGATCATCAAAAGATCTTCACACATGCTTCCAGAGAAAGAACTCCCTCAATCAACACTAAGCAAAAGAAGTGGCAGTCAAGCTTAAAGGAAACTACCAAGTGCAAGGCACATCGTATAGCATATAGATGAAAACATTCCATAAGCCTTGTAATCTGTCTGTGCATGGATGTCGCGAATTAGAGTAGAAGGTTATTACGTAATCGTGTGTTATCTCACTTTTATCCGGGCTAGGTTTGATGGTAGTTTGGTACACTATACATGTTTCTCCTTCCTTACCAATAATTAATAGCATTATTCTCGTAGTTATCGATTCATGTTACTACCTATTGTTTCTTGTGCTTCGGTTATTGCATTATTTGGACATTGTTACTGTTCTTTTTCTCTGAATGCTATCTAATGTTTTCCTTATGATTTACTATGTACTCTTTGATTCTATATTTTTCTCGTTACTCGGAAACAGCTCCTCTACATCCATGAGGTAGAGTAAGGTCGCATACACTCTATCATCCTCACTCTACCATCCTCAGACCCCACCTATAAATCATATATATTTGAGATCATTTGAAAAAAGAGGAAATATAACAGCCATTTCAAACATTCAATCAGGTCTCAATAGTAATTTAAGTTAAACTCTGACTCTTATAAATCATATGTTTTCATTCGATCTACTAAAGCCAATTAACATTTTAAGAATTGATCCTCTCTTTTTTTGTAGCTATGATGTCCAAGCCAGTAAGCCAGTTTGTGCGTACCTCAACTAATTCCACCAATACCTAGTAACTCTATCTACCGACAGAAAATATAAGTTAGTAATTTTACCTCCCATGATTCAGAGGATTGAATAATAGTTCGTCAAATTTAACAAAATCCATCAATAATTTGCAAATACGAGTGAAAAAAAAATGATAATATAAGATCAGTGAGATCTATAAAAGCGCTTTTAACGTACCATCTAATGCGAGAGAATTGACAGGAGGATTGATAATTGTAATGACGGCAACTCCATCAGCTCCAACTTCAATCGTAGTTCTTCCTTTTGGATTGCTACTCTTGCTCATTTTTTGCTCGGAAATTGAAAATTCCGGTGAAATTTATGGTCGGAAAATGGGAATGTGATCGGAGAAAGATGAATTTGTCAAGAGAGAAGTGATATTTATGAGGGAGAGAGGTGTCGTGACGAAACCGTGAACAATGACGTAAGGCTGTGTTTGGATGCTAACAAAAAAAGATAAGGATTGTAAGAGTCAATTTTTAGAAAAAAGGAAGATTATTTTTTTTTCCTTTCTTACACGATTCATTTACACCTCTAAGGGGTCGTTTGGTTTGGAAACGACTACTCGTTCCGCTTCGATTTATGTGATACTGATCGAATTGCCATTGGTACGAAGGAAAATGGTTTTTGAAAAATATTTTCTTGGTAAATAAGATAGTTTTTTTGTTTACGTTTAGCAGTCCACATCAATGTGATGAAAGTGAAGATCCACGATAATTACAGAACAACTTGAATAGTTGACTTATTTGTCAAGCAGAGTCTCACGAAATCTTTCCTCTTCGCCTTCAATTACTTTAGTGTTTGATAAGTAAGCAAGAAGATATTGTCTCGAGAATATTTATATGCTATCTAGCAAAATACTATGAAGGCCAGATGAGATGGGGAGTGAGGATTCGGGTGTGGCGAGGGTGAGATGGTCAAGGGTCAGGGGAATTGAATGGATTGAAAAAGATACTCCCTCCGTTTCAAAAAGAGTGACTTGATTTGACTTGGCACGAAGTTTTAGAAAATAAAGAAGACTTTTGAATCTTATGGTCCTAAATTAAAGTTATGTCAAATGTATTAAATTGCCCTTCAATCTTGTGGGCTGTAGCTTTAAACATGTCACGTGGAAAGCTGAAATTAAAATGTTACCAAAAAAGGAAAGAGGTCATTCTTTTTTAAACAGACTAAAAAGGAAAGGAGATCATTCTTTTTTAAACGGAGGGAGTGATAAACTTGAAATGTTTCATACGTTTGTTAGTGAAGTCATTTTCCAAACATAGGAAAAAGATAAGTAAAGATTTTATATTAATGTTCTCCTCCATAGCGAACACACCCTTAGTTTTAAGAAAATGGAAATTTATAATCTTATGCATTTTATAAATTATTTTATTAAAGATAAAAAAAATTAAAGTTGGATTATTTCTAATTATAAAAATATGACTTCTTCTTTTTTTCGAACGAACTAAATTTTAAAAAATGCCACACAAATTAAAAACGTAAAAGAGTAATATATTAGATTGTAATATCTGATTTAAATAGTAAAATTATTTGATACATATTTGATTTTTAAAAATATATGAGTATTATATAAGTATTTGATTATATACTAGATTAAATTGAATAAGTTTTAATTTCTTTTTATTTGGATCTTAATTTTTGTAAATGGCTTTGGAAAAGAGTGTTAGAGAAGGATATTTTATCCGATTAGTAATTTATGGATTATTATCTCATATTAAATATGGTATTAAAAGAAGATACTATATATGTGATCTAATTAATTTTGAAATTGTTAATCTTGGAATCAAATAATCCTCGATGTTGAGAAATCATATGGTGTTTATAGATTTTTATTATTATTTCAGAAAAAAAATACATATTTACCATTCAGCTTTAAATTTATTTTTAAAATTACCAAATTAAAGCTCAATTAGGAGCTAAGGGAAAAAATCATTTCCTCATGGAGAATAATATTGTATCAAAAGTTTAAAGGAAGGATATAGTTACTTAACTTGGAATATTACATAAGCAAATTGGATCTTTTCTCTTGTTTTATAATTGCCACGTTGACAAAAGATTATATCAAAATTTTAGCTATGGTTAAATTCATTATGCAATAAAATTATATTATTACTATTACTCTTAATTATATAAAAGCGAGTTTAATATTTTGTCAATTCTATTTTTAAAATTTTAGTATTACTTTCAATCATAACAACACAAATTAGTCTCTCTATTGCTACACCTTTTTTTTCTCAACACAAATTAGTATTACTTTCTCCTTTCTCAATTTTAGATTAATTGTGACAAAAACATATAATTATTATTGTTTCTGTAATTTATTGCATGAGTCTTTCGAAGAAATTCAAATAATTTTGTTTTAAGAAAAAGTGATCAATATAGAAAGTTATCGTGCTCCTATTATTGCTGTTATTCCTACTTTATAAACCTTGTGTATATATGTTCACATAAGCATTTTTTATTGATTAAACTAACAATCGTATCATTAAAAATAAAAAATTAATCAATCAATAATGAAAATTTTATTGATTAGATTACCAATTTAGCATGTTCATAAATGAAAAATTTATAATACATAAAATTGAATCGATTCAATCAATGTATATCCTTACGTGTAAGAGAAAACGACAGATAATTTGAGATGGAGTGAACCATAGTTTGGTCCAAGGTCCAACCAAACAGATTATTAGATTAGATAATTAGAAGATAGAGTATGGGAGCCCACTGGTGATAGTTCCAAAGCTCACACATCTCTAGGCACTTGTAGACCATTGTTAATTCCATTTAATTTTAAAGTTTTTAACTACATTTTTTTTTTGACAAATCAGTATTCCTACTACCAAATATATTTGAAAGAATATACGATAAGATACCTTTTTGGCTATAAAAAATTGTTATTAAATTTGGAATGGAGAGAATGAAGTGTACGTAAGTTTATAATTATCTTGTGAATATATAGAGATTGTTTTTGATAGACATTCAATTTAAATAAATCATATCAAACTCAAGTATGGAAAGAAAATATATTAGTGGAGAGAAGTCATACTAAAAATAATGGGAAAGAGAAAAATAACAATAACAATAATATGATAACCGAAGAAGAAAAACGACATGTAACAATAAAATCGAAAAAGGAAGTTAATAAAGATACAAAATTTAAATAGTGGCATAAAAAAGGCTATTTGTGCAAATGACTCATGTTGTTCTATTCATTACTGGGCTGGACTTTAGTAGAACCTAAGCCCAACCAATGTCAGCCCAGTCCATTGCTTGACCCAATAACATAGTCCAGAAATGCAAGTTCACCTTTTTCGGATAGTTGTTTAGCAAATGATCGTCTTTTTATTTCTTCTGTGATTTATGAATGTCGTGCACCATCTAATCAGTTATTAAGTATATTTTTGAACAAATGAAAAAGTTATGAGAAACATTAGATCATTTTCAAAAAAATTGTATGATATTGCAAACGTTAGACAACTATCTAATGTTTTATCTGTAAGGTTGGAAATTATATGAGTAAATATTAGGTCCGAGTCTGAAGATATTTGAAAGGATAATCTTTAAACCTCAAAGTCCAAGAAAATGGCCAAATCTTTCCAATACAAACACTTCTTCATATGTACTTTCTTCAATCACATCAAAAGTTACAATATCCCCAAAACAAACTTGAAAGGGCTATAGTTTAAAACTTCAAGTAGAAGAAAATGGACAACTCTTTCTAATATAGCCACTTGATTCACATGTACTTTATTCAATTACATCAAAAGTTACAATATCCCCAAAACAAACTTGAAAGGGCTAAAACTTCAAACCTTCAAGTAGAAGAACATGGCCAACTATTTCCAATATAACCACTTCTTCACATGTACTTCATTCAATTACATCAAAAGTTACTATGCCCCCAAAACAAACTTGAAAGGGCTAAAACTTCAAACCTAAGTAGAAGAAAATGGCCAACTTTTCCAATATAACCACTTCTTCACATGTACTTTATTCAATTACATCAAAATTAAAGTTACTATATTTCAAAAACAAATTTGGAGGGCTAAACTTTAAAACTTCAAGTAGAAGAAAATGGCCAAGTGTTTCCAACATAACCACTTTCTTCACATGTTATTTATTCAATTACATCAAAAGTTACTATGCCCCCAAAACAAACTTGAAAGGGCTAAAACTTCAAACCTTCAAGTAGAAGACAATGGCCAACTCTTTCCAATATAACCACTTCTTCACATGTACTTTATTCAATTACATCAAAATTAAACTTGCTATACTTCCAAGGCAAATTTGGAGGGCTAAACTTTAAAACTCCAAGTAGAAGAAAATGGCCAAGTCTTTCCAACATAACCACCTTCTTCACATGTACTTTATTCAATTACATCAAAAGTTACTATGCCCCCAAAACAAACTTGAAAGGGCTAAAACTTCAAACCTTCAAGTAGTAGAGCATGGCCAACTATTTCCAATATAACCAATTTCTTCACATGTAATTTATTCAATTACATCAAAAGTTACTATGCCCCCAAAACAAACTTGAACGGGCTAAAACTTCAAACCTTCAAGTGGAAGAAAATGGCCAACTCTTTCCAATATAACCATTTTCTTCACATGTACTTTATTCAATTACATCAAAAGTTACTATGCCCCCAAAACAAACTTGAAAGGGCTAAAACTTCAAACCTTCAAGTAGAAGAAAATGGCCAACTCTTTCCAATATAACCATTTCTTCACATGTACTTTATTCAATTACATCAAAAGTCACCATCTCCTCAAATAAACATGAAAGGGCTAAACTTTGAACCTTCAAGTACAAGAAAAGCCCTTGAAGAAATCATGAATGTGTTTGTTAATTTCATCAGGCTTTTCTTGTTGAAGAAAATGGCCAACATTTTCCAATATAACCACTTTTTCTAGCAAAGGCACATCTTTTTTCATTCCACCTTTGTTTATATAGTCTTTTGCTCCAGGGGTATTATAAGTTAAATCCAAATCTCCCACAATGAACTTTACTGGTACTTTCACTTTCGCACCACTCCATGCTGCTGTCAATTCCCAATTTCTGCATTTCAACAACATATTTAGTGAAATCTCATAAGTAGGGTCTGGAAAGAGTAAAATGTACGCAGATAAAAGATTCTATACGGTCAAAAGTTAATACAAACGCGAAGGGTTAGCAAAGTGCAAAGTCTCAATTCAATGTTGCAGTTGATGATTGTAACAAGAGCTTTTGGTTTTTATCATGTAGTCAAGTATTTGGGCTTACTTCAGCACCATAGTGACTGGTGTTCAAACATTTGCTCGAGGCATTTTCTCGATCCCTTCTTATCCTGGGAAAGTAAGGACACCTTACGTTCTTGAACATATAACCATATCTTTCGACATCACTAGTACTTTTTAAAAACATTTACTACTAAAGGTAGGTATCAACATAACTCATGTAATGTAACTTTTTCATCAGAATAAAGTCATCCCAATGCACTAAGCTCCCACTATGCACAGGATCCAAGGAAAAACCAGACCACAAGGGGTCTATTGTATGCAGCCTTACATGACAACTACTTTACCAGTTACACCAAAGCTATCCTTCTATTGTCACAATATTAATGGTAATGTCATTATTTGATTCTCCGAATCGAAATAATACTAATTCCCAACTAAAATGAGAAGTGTCACAACATAATTTTTAGCCAAAAGTAAATACAGGACAGAAACTTACAAGTCAAGTGCTCTGTAATAATTAAATCCACCAGTAAAGCCAGTTTGTTCATATTTGCTAGCAAAATAATCAACTTCTTTTTGTGATAGCCAAGAGGGCAAAATTACTGGACTATCATCAAAAGGCTTGCCTTTAGGCAAGTATAATGGTCCAGGGTTCCTATAAGTTAAATAATTCTCCAAAACTTTCTTAGTGCCTGTTTTTGCAAACTCTGCTTCCATCACTCCAGGCTCCTAGAAAAAATAACAAACAATATTAAGACATCGGGATTTAAGTTATATAGACTGACAGTATAAGAATTTAACGAAATGAAATAGTTAACTACCTTGAAATGTATACATATTTGAATCATTATCACTCTTCCTTTAATGGAAGCGACGACTTTATGATTATCAAGTGATTAGCCCAACTTAATCCGTGTTATCTTCACCTTAGGAGTGACTCTGTTCAACCCGCCTTGATTACTTAGATAATGCACCTTATAAGTTATATGTATGCCTACACGCATCCACACACCTCGATGCTGAGTTGGCCGAATATTGTTCCCACTCGACAACAAGTGTGTGTAAGCCAAACCTTATAAGTTATATGTATGCCTGGACACATCAACACACCTCGATGATGAGTTGGCCAAATATTGTTTCCACTCGACAACAGGTGTACGTGTGTGTAAGTCAACTCAGCATCGAGGTGTGTTTCAATACAAAGGGAATGATTGTTTAGCTAGGCAGATTAATGGAACAATAGATAGTTAAGTTATGAAACTCGCGAAAAAAGTAATAGTTTAAGTTGTTTTTGACCATTAATTCTTAAAAAATATGCAAGATCCAATCGTGAGAACGTAAAGGCTGAACTCATCAAATATAAACTAAAGTAATTAGGGCATGTGAACACATGTTTTTATAACTAGCTTGAACTATATCAAGTACCTAAAACTCGTTGACTTAAAATCTTGTATCTGTCTCTATTCGTGCATCAAAAAACATGTAACGAAAGAATTAGAAGGAAGCAAAGAGGTGAACCTGGAATCTAACAATATAATAGTCATCACCATAGATAGCCTTCAATGACTCAATTGGTTTTCTCTTAGGATTCCTTGGAGAAAATGGCACACTCATATTAACCAAAGCCTTAACTTTGTCTGGCCTCAATAAACAAAGATTCCAAGCAATAAGAGCACCCCAATCATGGCCAACAACAAACACTTTATCTTCCTCAGGCACAATGGTATTCAAAAGTTCCACTAAGTCACCCACAACTCTTAATGAGCTAAACTTGCTTGGATCATCTTTAGGTACTCCTGTCAGAAGAGGCGGATTCAGAATTTAAACTTGATAAGTTCAACATAGTATGTAGTAGTTAAAAGAGTAACAAATAATACTAAGATACGAAATATCTTAATTTTACCTTGTGTTATACTATGGTTCATTCATAAATCATACCCTTGTTGAAACAAATTGAGTTATATTTGTTCATGACCTTAATAGAACTTTGATATGAACCGGATGAATTTCATGTGTCAAAATACTTCGAAAAAAAACAATCACATTTATCCCTCTATAGTTCTGACTATGGGTAAAAATGACTTTGAAATATAATGGAAGGTAAAATAATACAATAATTTGTATTTTTTGACTCTTTTTCCTAATTTTTCTCCTATATATCTTTGGTATGAGTTAAAATTGATGATTCGATTGTTGTTACCAAATGGTATTATATTTGCCCTTGACTTTAACAAAGAGACCTACACGAACGGGATGAATTTTACGTGTCAAAATACTTTGTGAAAAAGATCTAGATTTAGAATTACGTACCCTCTAGATCTATTTTTTTGTCAGTATTTTCTTTCCTACGACATTTTCACCATAGCTTTTACTCTTGTATTCATCAATCTTGCTTCCAAATCGTTTTTTCTTAAGCGAGGGTTCGTCAGAAACAACCTATCTACCTCTCACAAGGTACGGATAAGGTCTACATACATCCTATCTTCTCCAGACTCTATTTGTTATGATCTATCAAGTTCCTACCATCATATCAAAAACTATAACAAATAGCAAAAACAAAACTTAATTTCTTAACTAATTAGTCCACCAAGCAAACAGTCATATTCAATCATATCTCCAACCCAGCTCCCTCGTGGACCTTGCCACAGGCAGTATGTTGGCATTACTACTACGAGACGATATGCTAATGACCAAGACCATGAACGATTTCAAAGTATAATGAAGGGTAAAATTAAGATGTTTCGTATAGAATAAGGCGTAGATTTTTCATTACCTGTGGTATCACCATAACCGCGAAGATCAGGAGCCACAGCTCTATAACCATGTTTAGCCATGAATATAATTTGGTGCCTCCATGAATACCATAATTCTGGGAATCCATGGATGAATAGAACAAAAGGACCTTGTCCTTTTTCAACAACATGCATATTTATCCCATTTACTTCCACTATTTTATGATCAAAGTCATATTCCTCCATTTCGGATGAAATTAATTCTTTTGACGAAAAAAATAGAATGAGATTTTTGTGTGTTCAATAATTTTTAGTACTCTTTTGGGATAGTTATATACTTCACATAGGCTAAATGTTGGGGTACGTAAAAAGTAAAAAGTTATGTATGTTTACGTCAATTCAATGAATATGACATGACATAAGTGTGTTTACACATACTATGCCAGAGCTACAATAATAGTTGTGAATTTCTAATCGAACCTAATAATTTTTGCTCAAATTTAATATTTATATTTTAAAAAAATATATTTGATATAGTCGACAAAGAATCTACCAATGAAAATATCACATCAAAAACATGAAAAAATTACTTTGCAAAGTTCAATTTGACTACCCGTAAGGATGGTCGCAAGGGTTCTCGGGTTCGAAACTTCTGCATGATTTTTTATCGAGTTTATTTTGTGGGATTTGTCTAGACTTTAGTTTATTTTATTTTTTTGTATGATTTACAAGCTTACAATCAGTTGCGGATCCAGGATTTTCATTAAGGAGGTTCGGAAAAAAAAGAGCAGTGCTTAAGATTTGAGGTTTGAACCCCTCAACCACTAAACCAACCTCTAATATTAAAAATACCTTAAATATACAACGTAATTTTTTGCAATGGGGTGAAATTTACCATGTGCGCATCCAAAGAATAGTAATTGTGGGTTCTCTTGTCATAAAAAAAATCTAAATTGAATTTTTATATACTATTATACAAGATTGACATACTATATATAGTGTTTTCCCTGTTATAATTTCATATAATATTATATATTATGTTATATTGTGTAATATTCTAAGTTGGTCGGTATATCTTTTGAAAAAATTAAATTTGTTCATAAATCGCATCTCTCTAGTGCGTATTATGCACATTTGTAGAATGTCTCTAGTTTCATTTAGAAATAAGTTCTGAGAATGAAAGAAAAGTTTTTTTTTCATTTTGATGGAATGTACTTTTTGAGAAAAAAAAAACAGCATTTCAAATAACTCGAGCAATACAGTTATAAAAAAGAAGTTAAATATGTTGCTAGAAATATTGAATAAGAATAGATTGTACCGTGGATAAGGTTGCTCATTCTTTAATCAGAGGTCTCGGGTTCAAGCTTTGGGTATGAAAAAATCCTTGATAGGGAGCATTTTCTGCCGAATGGAGTCCTACACAGTGCAAATTTGAAATAGTCGGACTCCAATATGGATATCGAACACCAAATAAAAACAAAAAAAAATCAAAAATTGTGAGCATAAATTTGACACGTATACCTAGATGCTTGACTGGAAAGAAAATAATTGGCACATGTGTCAATTATATCTTATCCCAACACTATAATATAAAGGGAGGGACTGGAATCGATATTATTGGAAGACAAGATAATTCTTCTGTGAAAAATAAGTAACGTAATTCTTTTGTGAATCAATAAGGTGGGGGTAGGATAGATAAGATTTTTCCCTAAAAAAATTGTAATGAGGTGTTTTTTTTTTCTTAAATAAGGTCTTATGAGACGCTTATACAAATTTGTTAAAGCTGCAATGAAGATATCGAACAATAGGTGGAAAAAAAAGTTGTTTATAATAAGATGATAAATACTAATCCTTACTCAGAAAAATCAAATTCAACTCTATGAATTGAGGTGACATAGGTAGGGAAGGTTTGGTAGAATTTTCCAAGCTATTTGCGTACCCATTGAGAACTTGTGGACACAATAAAAAGTGTTTTTTTTGAGATAAGAAACATCAAGAGATAAAGAGGTGTCCCACTTTTTGTCCTTTTAGTTTCCCACTCGGTTCTGATATCCACATTGAAGTACAATTAAATACAAATTCGCATCAGAAAGCCCCACATCGAGAGATAAAGCGTTCTCTAACAAAGACAATTCCGTACTTCAAGACCTCTTGATTAAGGATGAAGGACAGAAGGAGTACTTGTCACTCCACCGTAACCTTATTTGTGAGGTGTCCCACTTTTATTCCCATCATAATCTCCCCATTTGGGTTTCATAATAACAATTTGACAAGTGTACCAAGTCGAATCGCCCGATTAGTTTGAGTGTGTATTCGACTTTACCATTCATCAATATCACCATCCCATGTCAATGTCTTGAATATAATAGCAAGACAATAACATTTTACTGGTTTGATGTAGTAGCTCCAACAAACAAATATGCACTTAAAAGATTACTAGCATTTGATAACAACATGGTGTTCGGACCAGTTTGCATGCATGTCGACAGAATCCATAGGTTACCTGCTATATCCAACCAGCACATACACCAAGTAACTCTAATCAACATGTTTGTCTACAAAGAGACAAATGAAGAGTATATGTCACATACTGTTACATCTTCCTTGCTAAGTATAAAACTAAGGCCTAATAAGTTAAGCAAGAAACAGATGCTACAAATTTCTGCACCCAACGGGTTATTGGTTTGCGATGAGAATTACAATGGTGGGGTGAATCTCCTGTCTTACTACAATGCAGTTGGCACATCCGATGCTAACGCTATTCTGGACTTCCTTCTTTTCTTGCTTTCAGGTGTGCATCTTGTTCCATTAACCTTTCCCAGCTTCAGGGGAACTCTGCTATCTGAATTGGGCCCTAAAGGCGATGAATCAACAGCAGCATGAACGGCTTTACCTTTGTTCTTTTCCTTTCTAATGTTCTGATTGTGCATTGGAGATTTCACTCTCTTTTTTGATGATTGAAACTGCATTTCCTCCCTACCGTTGCCATGCCTAAGGAGTTGAACAGAGAAGGGATTTGCAGCTGTGTAACAAGTGGACTCGCATACCCCACCTCTTTCCAAAGCAACGTCTCCATTGTTTACCTACAAAATTTTTTTAGCAAAGCGAAAGAAAAAAGGTGAACATTTCTTATTGATGGCCTCAGGCATAGGATAAAATTTCAAAAGCAAAAAAAGGAATATATTACTTCTATCTTCAAAGGTAGATAACTCTAATGTCGCTAAAATTCATGTTGAAAGAGGGTTTTACCAATTGCAGAAGCGCAGAAAATGTTCGAGCAATGTCATGCTTCTCCGAACCCTTGACAACATCAGAAAAGGACATGGTGCTTTTATCATTTTCTTCCAGGGATAACTTGTTCAAAACCCTTTCCCCATATTCATGAATGTCAAAGGGCGGATGCGATTCCTGGGGATAAACACTAGAGGGATAAAATATCTGAACTGGACAGAGAAAAATAGGACAAATAAAGGAGATCTTAGAAAATGCAACACACTTGTTCCTCCAAGTTCTGGTCAATTCTCTGTTTCCACGTTGAAACCCGAGCAGCCAATTCAGTCTGCTTCTCAGTTTCAGCAAGGTTAGCAAGAAGAGAATCCTACAATAGAAAGAAGGTCACCAAGACAATCACAGAAGATTCAACAAAATTTAAGTAACGGATAAGCATGTCTAGAGTTCATGTTAGTGAACCCCTTCTCATGCCATTTAGGGGAAAATGAATTTTATTCTTACCAAGTGGGAGCGACAAAGATCTTCAAGGTTTTCTTGACCATTCAGATCTTCATGAGCTTCACTATCAAAAAGTGGACCACAATTATCATGCTGCAAAAATAAAATATAGTTAGCAACTTTAACTCGATAGTGCCACATTGAGCTAGCTTCAGAGAAACATGATCTTTACTGTATTGAGAAACATCCTTATCTAGATTACTAACCTTTTCACCATGTGGAGTAGCATTGTTGTTCATGTCTGCATTTTCTGGCATGTCAAAATCAGGAGGCCCAAAATTGTGATCAGCACTATCATAGTCATTATCTTCATTCTTTTCATTTGGGGTATAGAAATCATCGTAGTCGTTGTTCATCCCATGAAGAAGTGATTCCCGGAGCTGCAAACAGAAACTTCATACAATGAAATATTCAGGCATAAAAAGTTAGGTACAAATAAACTATCAATAATTTTAACCTTCTCAAATGGTGGTGGAGATTGTGAGTCGACTTGCTTATTCATGGCACAACATCTCCTCTCCCACATCTCGTTGAGGTCGGTATTAATGGTACCATGTAATCTTGCAAGCGGAAATTCTGTGGCCAAAGATGCAAGTTTTCTGGATACCACACCCTGCCTTCTATTAGATTTAACTGCTTGAAAGTATGAAACCTCGTTAGAGAATAAAGTGCTTGGATACAGAAGGAAACAAAGAGAAGGAAGCTTAAGAAACCTTTTTTGTACGATTTTACTTTCAAATTGCCTGGTTCATGAGGGTTCAAGGGTTTCCATGGGTCTTCATCATCTGAGTCATCTAAATCTCTAGGTTCTGAATATCCATGTGCATCATCAATGTTATCAGGTATATCAGATGAGAATGGATCATTGTTTAAATTGCCTGGATCAAGCTCATGTGGATCATTGTTTAAATTAGCTGGATCAAACTCATGACCCCTCGGAGACTGATACAAATTAGCATCCTGGTTCTTTCGCGCTGAAGATTTATTGCCAGCTCCCCCAGAAAGTCCTGTGGGAGAGGAAAAGCTTTTGTGGTATTTGGATTTTAGGGAACTGCCCTTTGAACTATTGTTCAGCCCCTTTCCAGCTATATTCTCACTATCCAGAAAGCCATCCACTGTTACTGAATCACATGCGTCCAATAGAATAAAATCTCGATAAAGATCACATGTGGCTAGCTGCAAGTAATAATAGAACAAATCAAAATAACAGAAACATACTGTAACTGCACATAAACAGACACTAACATACCAAGTAAGACTCCAGTTCTCCAGCATCTCCAGTAACATCCAGGCAGTCACCCTCGAGCACAACCAGATTTGCAGGGGCCTTCACAAACTGGGTGAATGAATCCCTGCATACCGTATCATCCAACATATTCTTTGCTTCCACTGCAAAAAGAACAATATAAATCATGCTGTTTGAAGTCCGGACACTTGCTAAAATAACAGACAAGTAATGATGCTACCTGGGATTTCCTCTGAAACCCAGAATGGATCATCCTCTTCATGGTTGGCAGCCGGCAAACCGTTTTCAT